AAAAAAATCGCCACTTTACATCATCCAACAAGTCAAAAGATCCCTTCAGTTAAGAACACGCGTAGTTTTACCCCCATGGGTCAATCTTTTAGGCCTTCGTAATTTCAAGCAACTTCCTTTAAGGTAGACCACATGTTCGGGTGGGTAGGGAGTTCGGGCACAAGAAATCCATTCCTATATGATCGACAATAAAGTGGGGCGCACTTATAGTACAGTTCGTTAATAGTAGAAGATAAGGCAACAGCGGGGCTCTGAATGCGGTGTCTTAAGAACAAACACTTAAATCTATAATTTGTATACAGCTGCAGGAAGCTATGGACATGTAATGTTTTTGAAGAACATTTTGCACAGAGAGTTAAAACGCCGACCACACCTGCGAATCCTAACTTTGAAAGACTCTGAACAGCTTCATCGCTAAGGGGTTTTGGAACAAATTGGGCCACAAGAGCCAACCACAGGGGTGATATCCCCTCGCGATTGAGCAAATTCACGTCACAGTGTTGAGAATTTGTCAGCAAGACCTGAAAGGCCACCTCATTTTGATGTAAAATGCAGAGATGGAGGCCCGACCTACAAAAAAAGTAGGGGACAGAACTTATAAAAGCATAAGTCATTTAAAAGATCTTGTTTTTCTGTTTTTATACGTAGAAAATTTGGATTACGCGTCAGCAACTCATCACAAAATAATAAGGAGTACAGAGCAGTTAGATGGGGTTGTGTTCTGTTGATACTTACTGTCCGCTAGGATCTAGGATCTGAGTATTTGCCCCAGCGATCAAAAGCTGTTCCATTAGCTTTCTTTGGTGGTCTGATGGTGCTGAGGAGCAAAAACCTCGACATAGCAGGTGCAATGGACTGTCCTGGGTGTCCGGATTAACAGCCTCCACCTAGGCCAATGACAAAAAGGGTGAGTGGTTCTGTTTATAAATAGACAGAGAGAATTAAAACGTGAGCAGGCAGGCTTATGTGTCACCAGCTTATGCAGCCGATGACCAGTTCAAGAAGATTAAATGACTCATGATCATAAGGTTCGTGTGTCGTTTCTCACCTACTTCTAAATTTATCTGAGAAGCGAAATGTAGTGAGAGTAGATACAGTTCTGCGAATCCTGCAAGCAAAATTCAGGTCAAAATTTAACCGGGT